GTGGAGATATTCTACTTGGTTGTTGTCTCTATTTCTTCTTTTATGAGAAACTAGACCCTAAACTAGATGTGTGTGTCCGAGATAGGGGTGTAAGACTTCAAATAGTGTATTGATTAATTGATTATAATATTGATTGTACGATATGAATCTATTGTTCTCTAGAAGTTTTAATCCTAAAATCTGTGGTTGTAACCATTGATTGACCTCTCTAACATCGTTTTGCCTAGGAAAAATAAAATAGAGTTGGGTAAGACTCAATAGTGGGGACTTATTGAAATTACTCTATGAAATTAAGATAGGGGTGGGATAATACGAGTGATTTCACATTCAATGATATGAGCTAGGAATAGTCTATCTACTCAAGAAATATTTTGTGTTTTATTTTAAAGTGTCTTCGAGTTTTGATGAATCCAAAGGATATATGCTTGCTAGTTAGAGAGAATATAATAGTGTAGCCTAGACCAAGCACTATTCATGTATTGATCGATGTTGTTTCAGTTAATATTTGCTTATTCGAGTTGTAAGTACAAACATTAAGCACACGCCAGCTCTCAGTCCTTTCTAAACATGTTAGGTCTTATTTTTAGTTATATTTTTGTTTTATTTTTTAATATTGATAAAAGTTTTGTTTGAAAAACTCCATTATTTATGTGTGTGTCACGCCACGAGGAACCCTCTTTGATGTAAACACAGGACCTAGTATCATGAGTAACTCCAAGCTAACCCTGAGCTAGCATAACATAAGTATACAAACATTTTCTTAAATAAGAGATCATGTGTGGATGTTTAACACATGAGATAAACTGAAATGGTGGGGAATACACAATACTATTCTGAATGTAAATAATGGATGAGAGTTTATTACATTGGAATACAACTCCAAAAACTAAAGTTGAATCTAACTATATCTAAAATAACCCTCTAAATGACTAGAGATGATGGGGCATGCATCCAGCTAACTCTAGCATAGTTGAAACTAAAATGAGAGACTGAATGTAAAAGAACATATTTATCATCTTCGATGAATGAGGACTCACCATTTATACTTAAGAGTATGGATCGGAAACCAAAATACACATGATCTAAATGTTGGGAACCTAAATATATATCATGAAAAGATATGGAGTAGAGTATGCATCAGCACTTAAAATGTACTGAGCATGCAGAATAAGGAAAATTTGAACAAAATATAACATAATAAGTATATTGAATGATGAATAATATAAATATGAAGAAGATACTTATATAAAATGAGTATGAACTAAACTGAATACAATGACCAAGTACATAACATGTTGAGAGAAAATACTGAAGTATAATTGATAACCTAGCCAATGTAATAGAGTCTGACTGTGGTAGATATTATTAACCGACTTAAACTATGTGAGCTAAATGTGGAGTGTGATGTATATGACCCATTGAGAGGACCCAATATGCCTTGTCAGGGGTATAAAGGCATGGCTGGCGTGATCACTAAATTTGATGCCCACATATGGGACTTATAAACCTATGGGGGTACTTAGCTTTTGGACTATGAGGGTGACTAACCCTAGTTAAACTTTGTTTTAAGCATAATCCCAACTAGAAATGTGTTCTATACAACATAACTGAAATATATTGGATAACTCAATATTCTACCATATGAACTGAAAATGCAACATTTAAAGACATATAATGAAACATATGAGAACTGAGGCATGTATATATGTTTATATGTCCTAGCTAGTGTTATTCATGAACTAAAAGAACTACACAACTAGGGTTCTGAGTTTGACGTAAGAATCTACCCAAAAATGTTATTAAGACATTACAATCTAATTAAAGACGTTCAAATAACTAAATCATATCAATTATCTGAAGTTGTATAAACCCTAGGTCTAAGAAACATATAGGGGATAAAGATTCCAAATAAATTCTAGGGACCTAGTGGACGAAAGGAATCCACTAGTGAAATCCCACATACCTTGTGACAAATTTCATAGAGAAATATTCGATTTCTCAACTAGAATTGACAAAAAAAAATTTGTGTTCTCTAAGAGAGTTTGGTCAACTGCCTTTGCGTCTTTTCATTCTAATTGGGTGAATTTCAGAGAAAAAATTACTTTTGGTAAGTTCTCATTTAGTTACTAGGGTTAAATTGACCACAATAACGTAGTTTATTAATTAAACAATGTAGTTTAGGTTCCTAAAGCATACGGGAAAAAACAAAATGATCCCACTTATATTTAACAGGGCCCGACCACAGACACAAAGATGGATCGTCAGAAAGACCACGGTCTATCATACACGTTGTGGTCTGCTAACCATTGTCTACTGGTTTTGGGGAGGTCCGACCACAAGCTCTACCACGACTCGTGTGGAAGACCCTAGATTGTGACGGTCATTATGGCTTTTCACTTGGGCTGGTGGTCTAGTGGCTCAGGTCCGCGAACCTTCAATTCCCATGGCCCGTCATCCAGACCATAGCCCATGGAGGCAATGTGGTATGGAACCAGAGCTTGGGAGATTCTGCCTCACTTCCACGAACCTTTCCACGGCTCGTGTGGTGGTCCACAGCCCGTGAAAGGTTCGTGGTCCACTATTTATGGGATGGTGTGACTCACAATGAGGGTGATGGACCGTGGTTCCTTTCGGCTTTCACGTTCTGTGAACTGTCCGTGTTTCACATGTGTTCTGTTGTTCTGTCTTATTTAAGTTTTGAGGTTTGAAATTGTGTGTGCGCTCCCGTTCATGTGTCCATGTGTGTGTATGTTAATATATCAATTTTCTAATTTGTTTCGAATTTTGCAATCAGTTGAAGAAGAGTCTAATATGTTAATTCTTGTGGTTTGACCCGGCCATCACAAGTTGGTTTATTATTTCTCATACAACCATCTTTCCCCTATAATATTGGACATAGTTGAGAGTTTATTAGAAGTTTTATCCAACCATACTTTTCTTTCTTAAGTGAAAATAAACTTAATAAGTTCAACCCAAAAGTTTAACTATTGCTTTTCCTGGAGCAAAGCATTCAAAAAGCATATGATTGATGCTCAACCACATATGATATATGTTATTTGGAAACTAAGTACCATAACTCAAAATTATCAAAAATAAAAATACTCATAGCAAAAGACTTTTTATACAAACACAACTCACAATCGATTCCACCATTATCGAAAGTCATCTTTTTTAAACCATTCTCATTTACGATCAACTTCTCAATTTAAATTGAGGGGAAATATTTTATTTAAGTAAAACTCAAAGCATCTCAATTCAATAGCATCAACCATTAATGATTGCCTAATAATTCACACAAACTTATCATATATTCATGCAACTTAGTTGAAATAAAGACCTCACTGTTCACATGAAGGATGCAGTGTCACTGACAACAAGAAAGATTTCCACTCAATATCAGGAATATTATATCAATGAATTGTAGATCATGAAAGTTCACTCACTCTTACAAGAAAATTTAAGCATGCACACATTGAACCATAGGATTATTTAATATGTAAACTTGACATTAATGTAGATTGGTAAAGCCTAGGATCACCAAAGACTAACTAGGGGAAATAGTAGGATATCCTTTAAAGTCAAAGGATTTTAGAAACCTTCCTAATGCGATCAGATCTCACTTTGAGCATATCGCTCACATCGTTGACTTGTTTTCACCTGAATTCTCTCATTTATGACAACAATCATTTATTGAAACGTTCATTTTTCTTTTTTACATAAGGCATTTGCACAATACGAGTTAACATCAAATCATTACTTTTTATTCTTTTGCTCTTTCATACAAAAGTTCACTATACGAGTTAACATAAAATTTTATTTTTTTATTCTTTTGCTCTTTCATCCAAAAGTTCACGAAAGGATATACAACTTCTGTTTCTTGTTTGGGTGTATAAGATACTTATGACGATGGAGAAGAAATTGAAAAAACTTGATTGCTATTGTAAATTAAGTTATGATTGCATCTGAAAGTGGCTGAATATTACTTGTAGTTGTCCTGTGTGCAGAAGGTGTGCCTTGTCATCATGATGTTATAGTTTCTTATTTCATTTTAATCAACAAGTTTTCTTGTATCTAGATAATTCTCAATTACACTTCATCCTATTCGAAGTGTAGGCAATCTCTAACAAGTATTAACTCAACTAAGAGTTGGGGTCGATCCCGTCAGGAGTGATACATATAAGAATTCAATTAAGTAAAAACTGTTAGTTTAAAAGAGTCCGGTTAGTTAAATAAGAGTTGGTAGTAAATAAGACTCCTATCTGATAGGTTTATCCTGGTCTTTAGGAAGTTGTTTTTTATATGTGGGTTGTTGTCTAGTTTTCAGGAGAAATCTTTGTAAGCTAATTCCTAATTTTTAGTCCAAGTCTTTTTTTTATTTTGCTATAAAAAAGACTATAGTAACAGCATTGAAGAATATCAGTCAAGCAAATTTCTTTCTACGTTTACTGCCTCTCTTACTCTACTTTTGCTTCTTGAATCTGTTTTTGATATCAGTGGCATTAGAGCCAGGTTAGACAAAAAAAACAGAGAGAAATATTAATAGCTTATGGATTCATAGAGCAATTAAGTTCAAGCAGTTATTCCTCATTTTGATAGTCACTATGACCATTGGAGAATGCTGATGGAAAACTTCTTGCGTTCAAAGGAATATTGGTCAATTGTCGAGAACGGAATCGTAGCTCCGGTGGAAGATGAAGCGTTAATGAATTCTCAAAAGGCGAAGTTCAAAGAAAGAAAGTTGAAAGATTTGAAGGCAAAGAACTCTCTTTTAAGCTATCGATCATCCAATCATAGAAAATATTCTTTGCAATGAAACTTCTAAGGATATTTGGGATTCGATGAAGAAAAAGTTTCAAGGTACTGGTAGAGTGAAGTGTGCACAGCTTCAAGCCTTGAGAAGAGATTTCGAGACATTGCAGATGAAGGAAGGAGAGTCAGTAATGAGTTACTGCGCTAGAACAATGGGGATTAGCAACAAAATGTGATTTCATGGTGAAAAAATGATTGATGTCACAATTGTGGAAAAAATATTGTGCTCCCTGATGCCAAAGTATGACTATGTCGTTTGCTCCATTAAGGAGTCAAAAGATATAGATGAGTTATTGCTTGACGAGTTGCAAAGTTCCTTATTGGTATATGAGCAAAAAATGAACCGTATTTCATCGTCCGAAGAGCAGTCTTTAAAGGCTTCTACTAATACTCGTGTCTCAAATTTTAGAGGAAGGGATAGAGGTATAGGAAGAGGAGATCGAGGATATAGAGATGGAGGCAACACAGACGACAATAGAAATTTTAGAGCCAATGATGACCATGGTAAAGGCAGAAGAAGGAATTTTGATAAATCCAAAGTAGAATGTTATCGATGTCATAAATTTGGTCATTATAAGTCTGAATGTTATACCAGGCTGCCTAATGACAAGGATGAGAAGTCAAATTTTGCTAAAAGTAACGAAATTGAGATATTGTTGATGACATTCCAAGGAGAGAAGAAACCTGAAAAAAAATGTTTGGTATTTGGATACGGGCTGCGGCAATACATGTGTTGAAGTAAGTTTTCTTTTTCTTCTTTGAATGAAGACTTCCGTTCGACAATTAGTATTGGCGATTCTTCCAATGTGAGTGCAATTTGAAAGGGTGATATTAAGGTTAGAGACAAGAATGGTTTTGAAGAAAAAATCTCAAATGTATTTTATGTTCCTGCTTTGAAAAGCAATCTTCTAAGTGTTGGTCAATTGCAAGAAAAAGGATATGTTATAACTATTGAGAAAGGTGCATGTGAGATTTATAATCCTACTAGAGGAGCTATTGTTGTGGTGAAAATGATTTCAAACAGATTGTTTCCGTTGAGGATACCGAATAGTCACTGGTTGTTTGAAAGCAGAAGTTATAGATTCGTCATGGTTGTGACATTTTAGATATGGTCATTTGGGTTTGGGGGAATTAAAAGTTCTCCAACAAAAAATATGGTTATATGTCTTCCTGAAATTACAATTCCATCTGAAGTTTGTGAGGAATGTGTTGTTGGCAAACAACATCGTTCTCAATTTCCTAAAGGAAAGTCGTGGAGAGCCAATGTTGTTTTGGAGCTAATACATTCAGACATTTGTGGCCCAATCAAACCAGTTTCTAATGGAGGTACACAATACTTTTTTTATTCTTCATGGTAACTTTGTTCAATTGGAAGTAGTCGATGCACATTCTAGTAAACCCATATTTCTTTCTAATAAACAACATTGGAGAGCCCCATGGAGAAATACTTGGACGAAAAAAACCCTTGTTTAGAAAATCCTTCAATCGCTCTTTCAAATCAGCCGCATCAATTCTATAAGGAGGAATGGAGATAGGTTGTGTATTCGGCAAAATATCAATGCCAAAATCAATTTCCCACTCGGGAGGAATGTTGGGTAAGTCATTGATAAAGAATGCTGCTTATAATAACATAAGTAATTTAGAAAAATAAAATAAAATAAAATAAAGAGAAGCGGAAAGAAAATTGACCTGTGGCGGCGACATCGAACGAGTGCAGGTATGTATCATCCTGAATGGATTCTTCTTTTAATTTCTTGCTTGTTTTCAATATTATATATTATATATTATATATTATATATTATATTATATATATATATATATGCATAGGAATATATGGTAACTAGAAAGAGAAAGAGTAATCGATTAGCTCCCTTTAAAGTTTTAATTATTGTATAATATTTTGATTACTGAAAATAAAATATATAATACTAAT